TAGGCCAAGACACAATGAGGTGAGGTGATCAGTTCTTTTCTGTGCCATTTTTCCTTGGCAGCAAATTATGTGGTACCAGTTTTTTCTGGGAAGGAAAAATGACAAGGAAGCAAACTTGCCACTCTGAGTTATGAGTTATCGTCAAGGCACTTTGGACAAGTGCAAACATGCCACTCTAAGTTATGAGTTATCGACATGGCACTTTGGACAAGTGCAAACTTGCCACTCTGAGTTATGAGTTATCATCACGGCACTTTGGACAAGTGCAAACTTGCCACTCTGAGTTATGAGTTATCATCACGGCACTTTGGACAAGTGCAAACTTGCCACTCTGAGTTATGAGTTATCATCACAGCACTTTGGACAAGTGCAAACTTGCCACTCTGAGTTATGAGTTATCATCACGGCACTTTGGACAAGTGCAAACTTGCCACTCTGAGTTATGAGTTATCATCCCGGCACTCTGGACAAATGCAAACATGCCATTCTGAGTTATGAGTTATCGTCAAGGCACTCTGGACAAATGCAAACATGCCACTCTGAGTTATAAGTTATCATCATGGCAAGTCTATAAATGCTCAGATTCCCCCTTCAACATATACATTAGTGTTCTGCAGTTAATAATGTCAGCTCTATGCTAGCTGTGTGTGTATGCATGCATGTGTGTGTATGTATGTAATGTGTGTCGGCATGTATGTGGGTGTGTGTATGTATGCATGTTTGTGGATGTGTGTATGCATGTGTAGATGTATAAGTATGTGGGTGTACGTGTGTGTATTTAGGTATGTATGCAAGTATGCATGTATGTGTGCAAAGATGTAGGTGTATGTATTGATGTGTGTATGCATGTATGTGTGTGTATGTATGTATGTTTACATGTGAGTGTAAATGTGTGGTTGTGGATGTCTGTACATGTGATTGTATGTGTGTGTATGCATGCATGCATGTGTAGGTGTGTATGTATGGGATGTGTGTGTGCATATATGTCCATAAATGTATGTGTGTGTCTTTTCTGTTTGTGTATATATGTAGATGCATTTATGTATGTATGTATGTATGTATGTATGTATGTATGTATGTATGTATGTATGTATGTATGTATGTATGTATGTATGTATGTATGTATGTATGTATGCATGTATGTATGTATTAGGTATGTCTGTATATGAGTGTGCATGTATGAGAATGTGAGAGTATATATATGTGTGTGTGTGAGTGTGTAAGATTGTATACACATGATGTGTGTATGCATTATTCTATAATGTATATTTCGTTATTATATCCATAACATGCATTGGTACTCTGAAAAATTAGTGCTTAGAAGGGCCGAATGTCAGACGGGCCTGCGTGCCCAATTTGTAACCCTGTGAAAATAAAGTTTGTTTTTGTTCGTTTGACTTCTAAATGCTGGTGTGTCTCTTGTGACTGACTGTACTGATCTTTACTCCCAATTCTCGCATTCTTAGCAGCAATGAGAACGTGATGCTCCTACAATCCTCTGATCATACTATTTTTTTCAGGGCATTAATAATACCAGAATTGTTCTTCTTCTTCTTTCACCGGCTGTGAATTCCGACAGAAGGTCGTGGTAGATCTGGACTTTTACCTAGACCTGAGTTTTGCATGTACAACCATTTTACTGGCTTTTGCCGTTCATTGCCTCACTGGCAGATGTACTCCGACTTCAAGGAAAAAGCCAGAATGTTTTTTAGGCCTGCCATCTGAAAATCTGAATGAGCTGCTCTGACCATCCTATCTCCTAAGGGCATTAATAATGTCAGTGTGATCCTTACGCCAGCTCTCTGCAAAATATGGAATAGCTGCCCCCAAAATCCTCTGACTGTCGTATCACTCTAAGGGCATTAACAACATCACTGTAATCCTGTGGACAGCGATCTGCAACTGAGGTAGAGTCAGCCAATCTGTCAGCTCTTTTAATGAAAACAACCCCCTGGGACAAAGATGAAGGTAGCTCCATGCCCAGTCATGACTTAGAATATGTGACAGCCTAAAACTTCACATCACAACAGCAGCATCTGCTATGGACAAACCCATTGTGGCACTTTATAAGTGCAAAAGTATTTCAGTTTCCGAGACAAGATGCTGTTTACGAGCCAATTTTCCTTGATGTTGAGATCTTTTAGGGCTGCAATTCTTGGTGCACGTAATTCAACAAGGTATACTATATTATAAATACTAATTATACATTTTTAGGGAGCAGAATTGAGTATTCGAGATCGTCCTGTTGGACTGACATTCATAATATGACTCTTTGGGTTGCAGGGATGTCAAAGCTTCATTCAGGTAGCGGCCCCAAGTGGAAAACAAATTCAGTAACCTCATTTAAAATCAACGCTCTGGAACTGAAGTAGACTGAAGATGAAGAGAAACCAATCAAATGATAACAATAACAAAATATGCCCACAACATATCATCACAGCCCACTTAAGTACACAGTCCCAATTATGTTTAAAAAAAAAGCCAGTTGCATATCCTTTAAGCAATGGCAAACTACTGGACGTAAATTTGCCTAGAGAAACCACACAACAGCCAGGGGCTGTGAGGTTGGTTCTGCAACGCCCTGTAAAGGATATGCAACTAACCTTTTTTTGCATATCCTTTATAGAATGTTGCAGAACCAACCCTGTTTTCTACATTTTTATACCATTACTAATAAAAGTGTGGGGCACTTAATTAAGAATACAAATTACCTGGCTCAACATGTCATACATATCTTCTTCTGCCTTTCTAACCCCCAATGGAGCACAGGCCCTCAACTTACTCATGCTAAGTCATTATATCACATGCAGCTCCCCCCCCCCCCATGTCCTCCCGATCATCTTTTTAACTTTGCTCTCTAGCTTCCTTCTCCGTGTGTTTTTTGGTCTTCCTTTATTTCTTTTTGTGGCTTAGACTTTGCGAACGCTCTTTGTAATGCCGGGGTGTCAGGTTCAATCCCAGCTGTGGGTTTTGCACCGGTTTAAGCAGTGGTATCGAGGAGCCGACCGTCCAGAAAGCAACGGCAAATTACAGGATGTAAATTTGCCTAGAAAAACCACAACAGCCAAATAATGCTAGGGTTGATTTTGCAACATCCTGTAAAGGATACACAACTAATTAACTTTATTTTTATGCCCCTGTGGGTTTACAGTGCAAAGACGTTCTCAGGTTTTCTCGATGTGTGTCCTATCCCACACCAGTGTCTTTTCTTCATCTCTTGGTCCACTGGAACTTGTTTATTTCTCTCCCAAAGCTCTACATTAGTGATTCTATCATACCATTTAATTTCCTCTATTCTGCGCAGGCCCCAGTCAATGAATGTTTGTAGTTTATTATTAATTGCCTTAGTTGTTCTCCACGTTTTTGCTCCATACAAAAGTGCTGATTTGACATTAGAGGTAGAGGTTTTTAGTTTAGTAATAGTTTTAATTGTTTTTGGACCTCCACAAATTTCCTAGTGCTATGAAAGTTCCTCTTGCCTTTTGTATTCTTATTTTAATATCTCTATCAGTTCCTCCATCTTTATCTACAATACTGCCTAAATAGAAGTATGACCACATCTTGGAGTGGGATGCCATCAAGAGAGACCACATTACTATTTGCCTGATATATTCTCATTATCTGTCTTTCCCCTTATGGATTTTCATAAGTATAGGCCACAATTATTATAGATTTAATGTAGCTGTCATGTATACATATACTATGTATGGGCACATGACGTATTTATTAGTCATGGTATAAAAATGTAGATACATTTTGTAAAGATAAACACTTAAACTGGTATACCCAATTTACAATATGATAAAGTATACATACAATTAAAATTCTGATTAAAATATCATTGTAAAACTCTTGTGCTCAATATGTGATATGATTTATTATTTGTTATATTTCTAAGTGTATTAGTTATTGTGTGCAAGATACGTAACAAAAGATTATTTTAGAACCAAAAATTTTTTATGTTTCTTTTTTTAAAAGTGTTTTCAGAAATTTACAGGATCGTGCCGGTCCATTCCTGGTTTCTCCCCAGGTAAAAAGAGAAGAGCTACATGTCTCTGCCTTTGGATGGTACACATCTATTTTATTAAATTTTCTTTATTGTCAAGATATTCACACAATACTCAAAAAAAGGGACTGTATGTTCCCCTCTGATATTCTTTTTCTTCTTCGCATTCACCAGCTGTAAACTCTGGCGGAAAGTTCTGGTTGTTCATCCACTTCTGGACTGCAGTCCTGTTCTAGAACCTGAGTTTTGCATGTGCATCCATTTTACAGATCTGACTTATTTATATGCAGACTGTTGGTTCCTTGCCTCTCAGGCAGATGCACTCTGACTTTGAAGGAAGCTCCCAATCAATTTACACCTACGATATGCTTTTGAGTAGGCAGTGGGTCTATTCTTGTTTTTCCTATAACAGGACCCTGGAACCCATATGGGGTGCCCTCTGATCTAGGGGCAGAGGATTGGTTATCTATCTTTCTCAGATAAAGGGGGAAAAGCTTAGAGGACCTTTATATACACTGCAAAAGCTAAAATTTCTCCGCAGCTGCTAGAGAAAAGAGTAGCGCAGGAAGCCAAGAGACCTCTGTCCAGAAAAAAAATCAAAATGAGAACTATACAATCATGCCTTCTGTTCTTGTCACTTTAACAATTATATTGCCAATAATATGTGTATATATTTTTTGAAAGACTACAAAAACTTAGAATATAAAAAGTTTCAAAAAAATAATTCACAGTTTATTACAAATATATGACAAACATATGACAAAATAATTACCCTTATGGATTCAGAAAAAAATCTAAATAAAAGAATGAAAATATATTTAAAAAAAACAATTATATATATATATATATTTATATATTACAAAATTTAATTTAAAAAAATAAAACATGTTATTTTATGGCTTCAAATTATGGAATGTAAACCTTGAAATTATATAAGCAACTGTAGAAAATATACTGGTTAATGTGCATTTAGAAGTATGAGAAATGTAATGTATCAGTTCTGAGGATTACTAATCTTAAACACCCAGAGCCAATCACAAGGCATTTTGTTGTAAGAAATTGCTGGAATGTTAATGATCACTCCTCCTCCTGACCTCTGGCTGAACGTGAATTGACCTTCATAACCTAGAAGGGTTACTTGGGTAGTGGAACTTGGCACAGGCGCTCCAAGTACTAGGGTGTCCTCAGGCCACTTGAACACAAATGCATAGACATTCTTGTTTGAAGGAGTTGTTTCATCTGTTCTTTGGGTATACCTGTGGGGAGAAAAAAACGAGAGGCAATTATTTAGGAATGAATCCTTTCCTACTGGAGAGAAGGATATCTTGTGAAACTGCCCAAGAAAGGTGATCTGCAGGAGTGTGAAAACTATAGAGGAATTATGTTGCTGTCAGTTCCTGGAAAAATATTAAGTAGAATTATTTTGGAAAGATTAAAAGATGCTATGGATAAAATGCTAAGAGATAAGCAGGCAGGTTTTCGGTCAAACAGATCCTGTACTGACCAGATATCCACATTACGTACTATAATAGAGCAAAGAATTGAACTGAACTCACCACTTTACATTGAATTTATAGACTATGAAAAAGCATTTGACAGCATTGATAGGGAATCTCTCTGGAAATTGATGGGGCACTATGATATCCCACAGAAAATTATCAACTTAGTAAAGGCAACATATAAAGACATGAAATGTCGAGTTCTTCATGAGGGAAAGCTAACAGATGCATTTGAAATCAAAACAGGTGTGTGACAGGGATGTCTTTTGTCGCCTCTCTTATTTTTACTGGCTATAGACTGGACTATGAAAACAGTAACTGCTAACACCAAGAATGGAATTCAGTGGACCCCTACAAAACAGCTTGATGATCTGGACTTCCCTGACGATATTGCACTTCTATCCCATTCACGGAATCAGATGCAAGATAAACTAAATATACTTGATGCGAGATCACAGCAGCTTGGTCTGAAAATCCATAAAGGAAAGACAAAGATAATGAGAATAAATCAGACAAATAGTAATGTGGTTTCTCTTAATGGCACCCCACTCCAAGACGTGGAGTCTTACACCTATTTAGGCAGTAATGTAGATAAAAATGGAGGAACTGATAGAGATATTAAAATAATACAAAAGGCAAGAGGGGCTTTCAAAGCACTAGGGAATTTGTGGAGGTCAGCAGAAATTAAAAGAAATACTAAACTAAAATTTTTTAATTCTAATGTCAAATCAGTACTATTGTGTGGGCCGGAAACATGGAGAACAACCAAGGCAATTACTAATAAATTACAGACATTCATCAACTGGTGCCTGCGCAGAATAGAGGGAATCAAATGGTATGATAGAATAACTAATGTAGAACTTTGGGAGAGAACTAAACAGGCGCCAGTGGACCATCTAGAACTGGGCCTAACCCCAACCCACCTACGTCCCACGAGAGAGTGCAGCCTAGCTCCCACGACTGCATGCAGCCTATCTACCACCCCTTGAAATATCAGACTGTCCTGTGGCCTGTAGATTTCCCTTGTTTGGGGTAGGATATTGAGAAAACATTAAACATACTATTTAAAAAAATGTACAGTTATCAAATGGTGCTTTATTATCACACATATATTTATTTACACACACTCACACACGCATGCACCCCCCCCCCCCCCACACACACACACAAGTGCATCGCTACTGATAGGATCATATCTTTTACATTCAAGATCTTTGTAATTTAATTGACTGTTCAAATTGCACACAAGAATACCTTAGGGTTCAACCAATCAACTGACAGTTCTTTTGTACAGGTCGATAGTTTTTTAGGTGTACAGGCTTTCCTGTCACTAATTCAAATTTGCCATAGGATAACTACGCATACATTTGTTTTTAACTGGAAAGCGCCATCAGACAACTATACTTTATTGGTATAGATTGTCTGCATCTGAAAGCCAGCAACATTCTCTCTGTAAGTACATTTCTTTCAAAATATTTTCACTATACTGTTTTTTGTTAAATAGGTACACAGTGATCTGGGAGTTGCCGTGGCCGAGCGGATCGGAAGGTCATGGGTTCGCTCCCTGGCGGAGCTGGACTTCAAAAATGACTTGGCTCCCAGGTCGACCCAGCCTTGAGTGGGTACCGGGTGCAGTACCGGGAAAGTAAAGGCGGCCGGCGTGATGCTGACCACATCACCTATTTTGTGCCGACTGGTCTATAAAAATATAGGTCTAGCCCTATATGCCCTATAAGCCTAAAGGCGTGGAAAAGGGTCCTTTACTTACATTACTTACACAGTGATCTCATCATTCTTGTATAAAACCACATCTTGGCAGCTTCTGCAGTATTATACTCTGCTGACTGTCCACTTCCATACATGATCACTGACTCTATGCAGGTCATGAGAAATTTTGTTCTAACCTCAACAAACTACATTTCTGGTTGTGACTGTTGGCTTTAGATTCTCTAGCAACTGCCATATGCATTTACCGCATGCGCACATTTCTGGATTGTTCCAGAACTAATTGTCTGTTCACCAGTTTTTCAAATGGGACATTTTATTTAGTTTTCACCGGCACAGGAACGGAGCAAGTATGGGGAAAACCCAATTGCAGTGAAGATGAAACCTCGACATAGACTGAGACTAAGACTTTCTCACCTCCAATGACACAGATATATTGTATAGAATATGTCTCATCCTGTGAAAATGCTACTTTTACATTACCCTCATGAAATTTAAAAATAGTGCTGCATCAGCTGTTCTCTGTCAGTTAACATTTCTAGTTTCCCTTTCAGATATGATTTCAATTCCCTTCGCACCAGCTGCACACACATATGCTATTACTGTAAAAGACTCATAAAGCATGCTAGGAAAGGTGGAGAAATGCATGCAGCATGCAGAGCGGCAGGCATCACTTCAGAGGTCCTGGATAGTCTGCATATGCCGTGACTGTAACAGACTCACAGAGCAGCAGGCATTGCTTTAGAGGTACTGGACAGTTTGCATCCTTTTTTATCTTTCCTCCGGGTGAGGTAGATGTGCTGGGAAATTATTGGGCAGACAGACTTGCTGGTTCTGCTTCACTGAGTGAGGAATTAAGGTATGGCAAACTAGATGGTGCCACAGCCTTGTGGGAGTAAGTGAACAATATGGAACAGATAGTTACTGTGTGAAGAGAATGGAGTAGCTGGCAGTGACCAGGGAATCTGGCAGACACTCTTTGCTCAGATACAATGGAAAAAAAATGGATAAATAATAAATCTCTACTGGTACCACTGCACTGAAATGCTTTCATGGCTGCTGAAGATGAAGATGGAGTGTGTGTGGGAACACAGAGCATGCTGTGATGTCAGTTCTTAATTTAATTTTCATTGCGTTATGACCTTAGCAGTTTGACTTTAAATAGCCAACAATCATGACGTGTCAAGGTGAGATATAACACCTGTGCAGGTTCTTCATCAATTTCTCTGTCATTCTTGCATTCTTCATGATGCTTATTTGTTATTTTCATAAAGGCTGTTCTTCTTTGCGTTTATTGGCTGTAAACTCTGGTGGAAATTTTAGGTTGTTTATCTACTTTTGAACATTGGTCTTTTTTCCAGAAGCTGAGTTTTGCGTGCACATCCATTTTACAAATCTGGCTCATTTATATGCAGTCTGTTGGTCATCACCTCTCAGACAGATGCACTCTGACTTCTAAGGAAATATATCTAATTATTCAACTCTTATGACATGCTTGTTCAATATTAATTTTTGGATCCAGAAACCATGAGTAGTAAACCCTTTAGCTCGATACTATAGATATCGCAACTCTTCGGCCTTGATTCCATGACAGATACCGTAAACCTGGGAAACATGTGGCTTTTCTGCCTACCCCCGGGGCGTGAACTCGGACCACACAAGGAGTTTGTCACTCAGTCGCAGCACAGCTGGTTTAACTAACTTAGCTAGTGCACCAGGCATATTACAGGTATAGTTGGTCCTATAGCAGATACTGCTGCCGGTATATTGTTAGGTTTTCAAACATTCAGGCCTTGACACATCACTGAGATAGGCAAGTTTTTTTTCTCACCTTTTTTCCTTCCCAGACAATTCTAAAATTGATTTAGACCCCCCCCCCCCCCCCCCCCCCCCCCCCCCCCCCCCCTTTTCATATGACTTCTAGAGCATTTTGTAAAGGTGACTAATTAGGGATTTTTATTTCAAAGTCGGAGTGCATCTGTCTGAGAGGTGAGGACCAACAGTCTAATACAGTGATTACTAAACTGTGTTCCGCTGCGCCCGGGGGAGCCGCGACCTCTTTACAGGGGCGCTGCGAAATACTGTAAAAGCTTCATAATTAATTTAACCAAGACACGAATAGGTTAGGGCGCCGTGGAAAATTTTTAATTGAAAAAAGGCTCCGTGACCAAGAAAAGTTTGGGAAACACTGGTCTATTATAAGTAAGTCAGATCTGTAAAATGGATTTGCATGCCAAACTCAAGTTCTGGAACAAGGCCGAAGTGCAGAAGTGGACGAACAATGAGAACTTTCCACTGGAAAGCCAGTGAACTCTAAAAAGAAGAAGTGTACCAATGTTTATGAGTATCGGTCAGCCTCGAAGCACTACTGGTTGGATACAATTTGGCCACTTCTAGTTAAAATATTCTTCTTCTTATAGTTCTGTGTGGTGTTGGTAGTCATGGCTATCCACAACCTTCTGCCTTGTGTACTTTCAATCAACTCTGACACAGATGATTTTCAGCATTTTCTCTCTCATCTCTCACTGCCTCTTTTCCTCTCCAACTTTCCCACAGTCATGATGTACTCGAGTTTTCTCCTTCCATGACATGACCAAAGAATGAAGATTGCCTACTTTTGATGCGGGTAATCAGTTCTCTTCATGAGTCATTTTTCTTTCACATTACCTGTATCTTCATTACTCTTTTTATCTGTCGAAGGGTATTTTCAGGCTATTCAAGGAATTCCCACTAAGCTCCCTAATCAGGTTGATGTGAAGTCTTGGTAGACAGGTGACAAGTACAAGCCGTGAGCAGCAGAAAAGTTTTTAGTACTGGTCATCGTGAGTTAACTGTGATAGGCAAAGAATGTCTCTTGTTGAATGTTGAATTAAGAATTGACATTACGGCACTCGGGACACTCCCATAAGTAAAGAATGTCTCTATAGGCACAATGACTAGGGCAACTTCCCAAGTACAGGCACTGCTCTTACAGAAACAATTGCAACCTACTGTGAGTATTTTGCAAAAAAAAAAGTCATCACTGTACAGTTAAAGGTTACTGATCTTTTACTGGTGTAAAGGGCAATGAACGAACTGACAGACTTGCAAGTGAGGCTCACATGGGAAATTGATGAGCAATGGGCTGATATACTGAATGCCCTCAGAGAGGCAGCTCGATTAAACGAATCAAGTAATGCTTGTGAATCTGCAACACTGAGGCGACCACACAAATATAATATCCAAAGAGGTGAAGCCAGACAAGAGCGCTAAACCAACACAGAACTGGTGAAATAAGCTACTACACGCTGAGGAAGAAACTGAGGGGATATGAGCATTTACGGACTGAATGGTTCGATGTGTGATGAAGATAATCTGTCGACCAACTAACTAACTAACTAACTAACTACTGTGAAGTAGTTACAACCATAAGTCTAGCTAAAAGAAAGAGTTAAAATAGCAATCCTAATTCAGCATTCTAATGTAACAATTCAGTCAATCAGGTGCCGTCTCCATAGTGAAGATTGGCTGCAATGGATCTCCATCATGCCCAGGCTCTTGTCCTGGTTGTACGCTCTCTCTTGTCCTGGTTGTACACTCTCTCTTGTCCTGGTTGTACACTCTCTCTTGTCCTGGTTGTACACTCTCTCTTGTCCTGGTTGTACACTCTCTCTTGTCCTGGTTGTACACTCTCTCTTGTCCTGGTTGTACACTCTCTCTTGTCCTGGTTGTACACTCTCTCTTGTCCTGGTTGTACACTCTCTCTTGTCCTGGTTGTACACTATCTCTTGTCCTGGTTGTACACTCTCTCTTGTCCTGGTTGTACACTCTCTCTTGTCCTGGTTGTACACTCTCTCTTGTCCTGGTTGTACATTCTCTCTTGTCCTGGTTGTACACTCTCTCTTGTCCTGGTTGTACACTCTCTCTTGTCCTGGTTGTACACTCTCTCTTGTCCTGGTTGTACACTCTCTCTTGTCCTGGTTGTACACTCTCTCTTGTCCTGGTTGTACACTCTCTCTTGTCCTGGTTGTACACTCTCTCTCTTGTCCTGGTTGTACACTCTCTCTCTTGTCCTGGGTGTACACTCTCTCTTGTCCTGGTTGTACACTCTCTCTTGTCCTGGTTGTACACTCTCTCTTGTCCTGGTTGTACGCTCTCTCTTGTCCTGGTTGTACACTCTCTCAGACTGCTGCTTGTCCATCTCTTGATGTTGTCCTCCCACTTGGAAAAATTATCAGAGTGAGAAGGAAATAGATATCAAATATATATAATGCAACCAATAAACATTTGACTTACCAGACACCCGGTGTTACCGTGTCATTCTGAAAGGTCCATGGTCTGGACTTGTACACAGCCTCACCGTTGACCTGCAACCATGACCCCATCTGCCTCAGTCTCTCCTCAAATATTGGGGAAATCGTTCCATCTTTTGTTGGTCCAACGTTGATCAGTATATTACCATTACAACTGTGAATGACCATTTACATGAACATCATACATGTCAGCTATAATAAAATACAGTACAACAGTAGTCAGTACTATATGTTCTCTGTTAAACTAAGTTTTCAAGTTATTTCTCCTCATAACATTTTCCCCAAAACATCTTGACCATCTAATTTATCTAATCTGACAGTTTCACCTGTTTCTAAGACAAATTGTCTATTTTATTTTTCCATCTGTTTATGGTATTATACGCATTGTCAAAACTATATTTATGTTGTCATTTTATCTTTCTCTGCTTACTGTCATTTATTTGCAAACATACAACAGAATTAGTTCTGTATAGCACTTTTAACATTCTTTAGCTCAATGTAACTGACATTATTATAATGATGAGTATCTTTTCTGCTGAAATGTTACATTGAGCCTGCTCTGTTGTATGCCAGTGAATCTTGGAATGTGAGCAGATAAATTAGGAAGAGTTTGGAGGCAGCTGATATATGGTTCTTCAGAAGAATGTTGTGAATAACTTGAACTGCCAGAATAACTAACAATGATTGCATAGAAATGGCTAATGAAAGTAGAACATTATATACAACAAAGAGAAGGGAACAAACAAGGTTCTTTGGTAATGTGATGGGAAAAGGAGCACTGGAAAATATTGTGACAACTGGAAAGATCACTGGTAGAAGAGGCAGAGGCAGACCAAGAGAAATGATGGTGGATAGCTTAAGACAGTGGCATGTAGGAATTTCATCAGTGGAATTGACCCAGAACACAAAAGACCAAGATCGGTGATGATGCACGACTGCCCATGCTAGCTGGCAAAGCACACATGATGATGATGATCTTTTCTATCAAGTAAATGACTACAAGGTGAATCCTTTTCTCATTTCTACAAGGCATCCTGCATCAGATGTTATAAATGTTACAAGACAGGTTAGAGTGACTTGTTTAAGAGTTTTCTCATTCACATGGATGTTAGACTATGGCAATTCTGTCTTTATGGAGATGACCTCCTACTCCTTTTTCTTCTTCTTCAGTGTTAAAGTGACAGGGCAGTTGGCACATTGTTGTTTACAGCCAGTCTGAGATATCTGAACTTTTCGGCATAAAAGATCCAATTACAGCAAACCCTTAATTAGCTACCTTTCACATTATGCTTGTTACATTGGTGTCTATGGCTCTGGCACTGCGAATGAGCTTCCCAGGTGTTGGGTTTGACCCCAGCTGCAGACAGTTAGGCTGCAGATCGCATTACCTTGGTTTTGACAGTGTATCAAGAGCTGACTATTCAGAAAGCAATGGTGCAATGGCAAACTATTGAAAGTAAAACTCCCTAGTAAAATCACAAACAGCCCAAAACTGCTGGGGTTCTGAAAAAGGATATGCAACTAACTAATTTTTGGGGTTTTGTTTTTGAGGGGCAATGGGTCTATTCTTCTCTCCCTTGCACCCTCTAAAAATTGAGGCAGTTGAAATCATTCCAGTTTAGTATACTAAGTATAGATACCCTGACCCTAACTTTTTCGCCCCCAGAAGCCAAAAAACCAACACTTTCGGTTGGGTCCAATTCTCCATAAATGTCACTTTTCTTACTTGCCTATCTTGGCTCATTTACGAGATGTTTAATTAATACAGATAGCTGAGTTCGCACCTGCACAAATGTTCAGAAGGTGAGGATATTAATTTTTAAAAAATTTTGATTAAACGAACATTAGCATTTAGAGGGATTTTCTTTTTTGCTAAATGATCTTTTTTTAAGCAAGATGGTGTCAGATTTTCTCATAAGCCTGTGTGGTAAAAGTCACGGGATAAGCGTTTTTCAGGCCCTGGAGAATGTATTAAATTTAATGCTTAATTCTGTACATGTTTATTGATTACTCCTTTCCTATGTCTTTATGCACTTTGACAAAAAATTTCAAAATGTTGATAAAACATTTATTACGAATTTATTAGTAACTGTAAAGATTGTTTTTTTTTAAGAGTTCTCGGGTGAAAGGATTAAGGCAAAGGTGGTCCACTAACAGACACTGTAACTGGGATGTGAAGTGTTGGATCTTCAAACATTCCGGATAAGTGAAGTGGGTTTGCCAGTTCACTTTCTTATTATCTATCCAACCCAGGAAATTCTGGAAATTATCTGGCACCCATCATTGCTAAGCTACATCAAGAGACAACAGATCAAATGGTTCAGACATGCGTCAAGACTACCACAAGATAGTGCATCACAGAAAGCCATCACTAAGGCACAAAGTAAGCATAGCCCAAGGCTGTTCATGTAAGCGATGGATTGATGGAAGATCTGAAGCTGTGAATATCAGCATCTACACAGCACACACCAAGGATCTTCAAAACTGGATGCTGAAAGGCAGAACAGGGTGTACAGAAAAGCAGGAGGAAGAAAAGACCCATCATTATGAGGTCCCAAAGTCGTTTTGCTTCAAAGAAAAAAATTCTGCCCATACTGCGTAGGGGGAACTAACTGATTTGAAAGGGATGTCTAATTTTCAGCTCAAAATATTAGTGTGATGTCCTGTTTTTCAGCTCGAGACATTATGGTCACCCTAGCTTGTTAGAAAGGCAGTGAGTTTGTTCCCCCCCCCCCCCCCCTTCCCCCTTTTCCCACAATGAGGCCCTGGAGCCCACACAGGGAACAGATCAAATAATTACCCTGAGACCTTCAGAGGAAATTGTTGAAAAACAAACAACAATAACCCCTCATCCTGAATTTCACTGCCTTTAAGGATTTTGGTAGCTTAAACAGATTATCTTTGTCTTCTTTTATCCACCTGCTTATGCCACAAAGCATCTTTGACAGGAGTTATATGTAGTTTCTTGTCTTTCGCTAGTTGCATGTAGCATGTTGTTTTTCTGTGGTGTCTCTTTCACCATCCATCCATCGCTTTCTTGCCACAGACTATAAGGAATCCTGAAATGTTAAGGTATTCTATTGAAAATAATCAACATTATCAACTTGATTACAGTAACAATAATCACTCAGCTACCTGATTGTTGAGGCAATTTGTTGAAGTAGGTCTTGTATCGTAATCACATCTGACAACTTGATATTTCTACGATACCCCCAGGATGGGTAATCCAGTTTCATAGCATTCTCAAACTTACGTTTCTGCAATGTGCCTGAAACAGACATACAAGATCTGCATAAGTAGACATACATAATATATAACTTTTTCAGCTGCTGCTGTGTTTCCCTCAAAAGGGAGGTTGGCGGGTTTACAGCTAGGCTGCGATATCTGCACCTTTCAGCCCAACACATCCTATTTCAGCAAACTGCTAATTAGTCACCTTTTATGGCATGCTTGTTGGGAGCAGTGGGCCTATGCCTCCCTTCCCACTCATAAATGAGCCCAGGAACCCACTATGTATTATGCAAGATTAAGGAATGACCAAATCCCAACTCATATACTCAAAGTAAATTACATAGACCGATTTAAAGCGAAATACATGTCCTTCTGTTAATTCTTTTCCCCTCAGAAACAATAAAAAAGCCATAAGACTAAATGGATTGTTATAGGACAGTGAGTTTATTTTTCCCCGGCAGAACCAGCTAGTCTATCTGCCTGCTCATTTCCCAACATACCGGTATGACCTGGATAAAATATCCCAAGGATGCTAACTACCCAGGACTTCTGAAGTGATACTTGCCACTCTGCATACAGCATGCCTGTCCCCACCTTTCTCAACATGCTCATGTGTGTATAGCTGATTCTCAAGCCAGCAGTGACTGCTTCCACCTCCATTCTCAAACTAGACATTGTAATATCATATGCCAAACTTTGTTGCACTAAGCACTTTATGAGATGGAGCCCATCACACAATGTTTCAGCTAAAAGGGTTAAAATATCGATCACTGCGCGTGAATAGTGACACTATCACCATAGCACTGCTGACGGATGCGTAGGTGCTCCAAACTCCTCCTCAAAAGCCCAAGTGTAAAATGCCTGTTCTGTGCTTATTAATCAAACTTCTCGTCCCCCTTAGTGAAATATTCTTGCAGCTCCAGGCTGCACCCGGATGTCAATCAGCCTAGACAGGGATACAGAGCTTTTCTCTTTGTCGTGTTCGTCTTCGCATTAAGTGGTGTGCATGGCACTGAGAACATCGCTTCTGTTCAGTACCCAACCAGCCATAGCAACTGCAGTATGCGCAAAATAATCTGCATGCTTGTTGCCTCAAACACCTGCATTGCTTGGCTAGGCACAAAGATTAAGATTATGCCAGCCATTCGCAAAGAGCTTAGTGTTGCAATCCATTCGTCTGATGAACCCAACCTGGATTTTCTGAATTCCATTTTTCCACTGAGTCTTCCCTGTTAATGAAATTAAGACTGTGCCTTCAGCTAAGATGTCTGAGCATGGTAAAAAGTAAATATATGTTGCTCTTGATTTACCTTGTACATTTTTTTTTCAAAGAATGAGAAAATCAAAACAGAAAAACATTGCCAGTACTGCTTTGGAAAAATTTCATGATCAATACTGCAAATGATGGAAAATAGAAAACTGCTGAAAATAAATGCATTTATCAGGATTGTTTTTTGTTTTTCAAAGTCGGAGTGCATCTGCCTGAGAGGCAAGGAACCAACAGTCTGCATACAAATAAGCCAGATCTGAAAATGGATGTGCACGCAAAACCTTAGGTTCTAGAACAAGACTTCAGTGGGGGGAGCAACCAAAACTTTCTGATGGAGTTTATTTATAGCTAATGAATGTGAAGAAGATCAGGATGATTCTGCAGAAATTACAGAGGACTATTTCCCCCTTTTTTTTCTCCTGTTTTGTTGTTGTTGTTGTTGTTGAAAATTAGGTAATGATTTTCCTCTCTGGAGCGCAGGCATAGAGCATCTAAAGATTAAGAGGGTTCTTTTTCTTCTTCGCATTCACCGGCTGTAAACTCCGGTGGAAAGTTCTGGTTGTTCGTCCACTTCTGGATTGCAGTCCTGTTTCAGAACCTGAGTGATGCCTGTGCATCTGTTTGATGACAGATCTGTCTCATTTGTGTGCAGACCGTTGGTTCCTTGCCTCTCAGGCAGATGCACTCCGTCTTTGAAAGAAGCTCCCAATTAGTCGATTCTTACAACATGCTTTTGGTTAGACAGTGGGTCTATTCTTGTTTTCCCTATAATAGGGCCTGGGAACCCACACGGGGAAAAAGGGTTCCAGAGTTTAAAAACAACTGTGAAGAAGTTCACCTGTTACAGAAACACCCTTACCTGGACTGTACTGGTCAGTGCAGGTTAAAAATCCCCCATGCTTGCAAATAACGTTACTGCCCCATCTGTCGTTAGTGACAACTGTATCCCTCACAGGGCTGAAATAAGTATTGAATAATTAACTCTTTCACTTCCAGTGGTCTTCTCTTTTCTCTACTCTCTTGTAACCTTTTGAAAATAAAGTTTGTTCATTCGTTTGTTTGATAGTACTCCTGAATTGCCTCACAGCATCAGGGCAGGAAGAGATCTCTGGAACAGGCCCTTCTGTTTGTTTTGTATAAAGTACTTTTCAGTGTCTCTGATATTTCTGTGGTCCATTTTCTGTGAGGTTGACCTCTGGCTCTGTTACCGTTGTATCTGTATAAAGTTTCTTTCTGTGAGGCTCTGTCTGAAGCCAATCATGAAAATTGGCCAAACCATTAGATTTGTTGTCTACTTTTTATGTTCAGTATTTGTTCTGAGCTGACTCTCCTCCTGATATCATTGTTCCTAAGTCAGTATTTCCTCATTATGCCTAGCATAGTAGGTAAATATTTTTCATTTTTGTCGTGACTATTTTTTTTCTGTCGTCTGAAGACAGTGTCCATGTTTGACATTGATAGCATAGCATTGGTAAGAATATTCTATTGAACAATGTTTTTTTAGTTTTCATTTTTACATGCTTGCATTTCAAAACTGGAATGGGATGGGATGTTTATCCCAGGGGTTCTCGCAGCAAATGCTCAAGAAAATGAAAAGTCATGAATACATAGCATTCAAACAGGCAAATTACGCCGCGGAAGTAGCTAGTATGGAAGCCAGATTTCTTCATTGTGCTGTGACCATTAGTAAAATTAGGGGTGGACACATTAGGTAAAGGCTGGGATTCATGTGGCAAAAAAGCAAAGCAAAGGACCCTTTTCCACGCCTTTAGGCATTTGGGCTAGACCTATATTTTTACAGACCAATCGGTACAAGATGGGTAATGTGGTCAGCATCCTGCCGGCCGCCTTTACTTTCCCGGAACTGCACTCGGTACCCATTCAAGACTGGGTCGACCTGGGAGTCAGGGTCAATTTTGAAAAAAGTCCGGCTCTGTCAGAGAGAGAACCCACGACCTTCCCATCTGCGGCGAGCGTCTAGCCGCTCGGCCACGGCGACTCCCGTGTGGAAAAGTCTATTATGCATCATATGTTGCATGAGACTGAAAGATTTAACTTGATGGTAAATGTTGGAAAATCAAACCTATATACAGGGTCTTGTGTTAGCAGAGACCTCGGGACAAGCACATAATAACAACACTGCATCATCTGATGTCAAGTTTCACTAAAGAAAATTAGATGAACATTTGCTTATTCTACTATCTATATCTATCCCTATTTATGTCTTTTAAGAATATTATGTGTTAAACAGCACTTGGATGATAATCTATGCTTTCAGATCAGCTGAAAGGAGTCCAATCCACTTTCACTGATATATGACAGACTAGATGTTGTGCCAACCCACTTTCACTGATATATGACAGACTAGATGTTGTGCCAACCCACTTTCACTGATATATGACAGACTAGATGTTGTGCCAACCCACTTTCACTGATATATGACAGACTAGATGTTGTGCCAACCCACTTTCACTGATATATGACAGACTAGATGTTGTGCCAACCCACTTTCACTGATATAAGACAGACTATGTGCCAACCCACTTTCACTGATATATGACAGACTAGATGTTGTGCCAACCCACTTTCACTGGTATAAGACAGACTAGATGTTGTGCCAACCCACTTTCACTGATATATGACAGACTAGATGTTGTGCCAACCCACTTTCACTGATATAAGACAGACTATGTGCCAACCCACTTTCACTGATATATGACAGACTAGATGTTGTGCCAACCCACTTTCACTGATATAAGACAGACTAGATGTTGTGCCAACCCACTTTCACTGATATAAGACAGACTAGATGTTGTGCCAACCCACTTTCACTGATATATGACAGACTAGATGTTGTGCCAACCCACTTTCACTGATATATGACAGACTAGATGTTGTGCCAACCCACTTTCACTGATATATGACAGACTAGATGTTGTGCCAACCCACTTTCACTGATATATGACAGACTAAATGTTGTGAAAGCCTTTTGGGAGCTAATGAACAGTGCGGAGGCACAAATAGACAATTAGTTCTGAGGAGAATGGTGCTGCGAGGAGTTACCAGGGTATCTGACCAAACTAAAAAAAAAAAACTAAAGGGAAATGTGAGACGGATACACAATCAGACAGTTACTAGTGCCATCGGAATTGGAACTCTCTTCACTCGTTCCTGAAGATAGGGATGCAGCGCTTATGGGAGTGTCCCGAGTGCTGTGATGTCAATTCTTAATTCAACATTTAACACTTACCTTTCATTATAAAGCCAGGCCAGGAAATAGGTGCTATTCCAATAAGCATCTGTGCTGGGGCAGCCATCAGACCAGACTACATCAGGCTTGTATGTGTTCACCAGCTCGTACAGCTCTGGGAGAGACTTGCCCTAGAAGGAACATATACGTTAAAACATAGTTATCTAAATGCCTGCAGGAGGTCCCATAAAAAAGTATACTAAAAACTCATTACCATTAGAAGAGATTAACAAGGTTTTTTATAATTGATAGGACAGACTTCATCATAAAGTTCCTTGCCGAGGCATGGGCGATCATGCCACTCGACATCCACAACTGTGTGTATCAGTTTGTATTTTGACACCCCTCCATGACATGACAAAAGGCTTTGAAGATTTTTCTCATGGTGCCTTCTTTCTGTCTTTCATTCCACAAACCTTTCTAGTGGTCACAATATATTCCCATTTTTCCTCTTCTCATAACATGACCAAAAAATGATGACTGTCTCTTTTTGATGTTTGTAATAAGTTGTCTTCGAGGACTCAACTCTGTCAAAATATTTTGGTTGCTCTTCTTAGCTGTCTAAGGAATTCTAAAGATTTTTCTATAAAACCACATCTCTGAGTCCTAAAGAAATTGTTGGGCTTGTTTAATAATTATCCAGGATTCACAGCCGTATGTTAAAACTGGCTCTATATAACATGTGAGAATTCTTTTCCTAACCTTTAATGATATGGATTTATTACACAAAATGTTCTTTATTTTATAAAATGCAGTTTCTGCCTTTCCTTTTCTGTTATTTATTTATGTGATACATCTTTCATTTGGATGTTATCTATGTCCTTATAATTTATGTACTTGTCCTAAAATAATGCTTTTGACTAGGAAAGAATTATTCTTTTTTCTTCACTTCCTCTTTACTGCTTTAGGTGTCAAGGAAGATATAAGGCTCTGCTTCTTGTTCTTCTGCCTGCCTGTACGACAGACACATCCTGTGGTTTTAAAGTTTCTCTGATATTAACTTTCCATATTTTTTTGGGGTTTATCTCATGCTCTACATCTTTCTCCTCTTCTCGTGGCAAGCATCACTTCAGAGGTCCAGGGTAATTAGCATTCTTTGGAAATGTTCTCCGTGCCATGTCAGTGTGTTGGGAAATGAGCAGGTAGATAGACTGGCTGGCTCTGCACCACCTGGTAGTGAAGTGATGTATGACAAGTTAGATATTGTGAGTGCACTTTGGGAGTGAGTGAACAGTGTAGATGCGCAGATAGATCATTACAGTCTAAGGAGAATGGCGCTGCGAGGAGTTACCAGGGGATCTGGCTGACGCTTAATACTCAGGGGAAGGATCAGATGGATATACAATCAAACAGTTACTGGTACCATTGGAATTGGAACTCTTCACTTGCTGCTGAAGATGGGGACTGAGCACTTATGGGAGTGTCCAGAGTGCCATGATGTCGTTTCTTCATTCAACATTTGTCTTCTAGTGTGTGCCTTGTATGATATGGCATCATAAGACATTCTCTCTAAATGGGCTAACCATTTGATTTACTGTCTTTGACTGACTTTCTACCCCACCAGGACATCACACAAGCGATAAACACCCGATGACACAATGTGCCACCATGTGGATGAGGATCACCGTGGAGAGGTCCCAGAAACCACTTCAGCCATTAGGCCATATTTATGGCTTGGCTATATTGCGGCCCCCGGCAAGAGCCAGGGTGGGGCTTCAAATAGCGAAAAATTTCATCCTAAAAAAGAGGGTGAATAGCATTTTGCTGTCTTTGTAGGTCATTTAGAATTTACATTTCAGTGCCCATGGCTTTATTCCATGTGGCTCCGTCTTGTTCCGAAGAGCAGTTGCTTGCTTTCTAATTCCAATGACAACCTCCAAGGACCCTCAAAACACTGACATTTAACTAATAGATTGAGTCCCTAACAAAACCCATGCTCTTCAGAACACGAGATAAATGGCTTACCCAGAAACCCTTTTACATAAGATGAAAAGAGTTTTCTGCCCATCATGGATTTTTATAAAAACCGACCAAGACTCAACATTTCTTCTGTTTCAATCTCTTTCTCTAGTTTCTCAGGGTAGAGTTTCAGAGAATTATAAGGATGCATTTTCTTTTTTTTTTTTTTTTAATTGAGCAAAGGGTCACTGATAAAATACTTTTAGATAGGGAAAGGGTTAAGTAATGCAATATGGGAAAACAATTTGATAGTTGGAATGTTGACGGGGCTGCACAATATGAGATGTATTTATCTTATCATCATCATAATCAAGTGCTGAGTGGCATAGGTGACTCCTCGTCTTCCCCATATCCTACATTATCATATGACCCTTATCAGTTTGTGTGCTGAAATCTTGACACATTTTTAAAACTATCTGATCGGTTGTCCCTGTTTCCATAAATCTGTCAAGTTGTCACAACATGACCCTGTTTCTCTTCTTTTGTTTTGTTTTGCAGGTCTCCTACATTCCTGACTAATGTTTTTCTATTTGTTTAAGCTTGAAGATGAGAGAAGAAAGCATTTCATAACATAGCAACATTTTATTGTTTAATTGTTAAGCATCATACATTACAAATGAGTTGAGTTGAGTCAAGAATTGACATCACAGCACTCGGGGCATTCCCATGCATGCTTCCTCCTCATCTTCAGCAGTCAGCACAGAGTTCCAATGCTGATGGTACCGACCACAATCTAGTTATATGTTTGTCTTGCCTTATTACAAATGAGAAAAATTCTGCATCTTCTGCACTCTCCCTACAAAGGTCTGCTGGCATGTTGAGTTGTAATTTACAGCCATTTGGCCAATTAAAAAGATTTAAGCAAACTCCTTCTTCTTCTTCTTTCGTTCGCCTGAAATAAGTTGTCTATATCAGCAATTTTGTCTTTTGTATAAATTTCACTGTCATTGTTAGTTCATTCAGTGGTCCATAGAGTTTACGTTCCACTGTTGTTCTTTCTGTCCAAAAGGTTTGCCTTAATGTGTCAAATTTGGTGCAGCCCTGGAGTACATGCTCTGCTGTCTGGGGCACCTTCCCACAGATGCATATGGCTATCTTGAATTTTGTGTACATGTGGTTACGTAATCGGTTGTGCCCTGTTCTGAGGCGGAGGATAATGACTTGTTCTATCTGTCCATAATAAAATAGTCATCTTGTGCTGGGGCTGGTGGTTTCCTGATCCGATTTAATGATTTAATGATTCTTCGCTGAAGGCTAAGTTGTGCCAGCAAATTCCTAAATAATTTGCTTTTATGACATGCTTGTCAGAAAGTCGTTGGTCTCTTTACCCTAAAATGTCATCATCGGTTTCTCACCAGCTCTCCCGCCTCATGTACTTTCATACTCATGAGTCACTTATATCCTGTGCCCATCTTCATGCTGGTCGGCCTCTGCCCCTTCTTCCTGGTCCCATGCCTTCTGCTATTATTTTTTCCCAATCCGCCAGGACACTTGATATGACCAAATTTTTCAGCTCCCGAGACAAGATACTGTTTGTTAGCCAATCTTCTTTGATGTTCAGATCTTTTAAAATGTCAGCATTTCTTTTCTTCTTTGTCCATGATATTCTGAGAATCTTTCTATAGCATTTCAGCTCAAAATCACCTATTTTATTTCTTAAGGACTGGGAGATAGTCCACAACTCACATCTGTATGTTGCTACAGGGAAGATGCATGCTCTCAAAATTTTGATTTCCTTGCTGGTGCTTAACCATAGACTTTTAATGCTGTTTAATCCCTGTGAAAAAATATGCAACTATGTTTAATTTTATCTTTCTAAATTCACGATTGGTTGGATTTAGCAGTTAAAGCTAAAGAATATACTTACAAACACAAAATTTTGGGTTTTGTAGCCATTTTTCTCATCCTGCAAGTAAACTGGATTGAACCACTCAAACAAGGAATGGTAAATGCCATATCTCAAATTCGGATATTTGTGGATGGCGGCTGCCAGATCACCTTCATTTACATAATCGGAAAAAAAAGTCAGTATTTCATCACAAAGAAAAATTAATATAACTAAAGTAATTACATGGAGATGAAAAGCAAAACAACAGATGATGCTAAATGGTGTAAAATATTGATTAAATCAGGAAAAAATCTCTATAGAATAACTTCAGCTGATGGAATCAGCTGATCAATCGACATTCATACAACTATCTGCAGTAAATAAACATCCTTACAATGAACTTAATCAGTTACAATGATCCAACACCTTTCACACAATAACAATGAACAATCCAACAAAACAGCTCTTTTTAATAAAGTAACACAAAAACAACTGTTGACAATCAATCAACACTCACAGACCAGTTAGCAATCAATCAGCATTCATACTACTGTTCACAATCAATCAACATTCACGCAACTGTTGACAATAAATCAACACAACTTATACACCTGTTCAAAATCACTTATTAACATTCATACATTTACTTCTTCATCTTCTTTCGTTCGCCTGAAATAAGTTGTCTATATTAGTAATTTTGTTTCTTGTATAAATTTCACTGTTATTGTTAATTCATTCAGTGGTCCATAGAGTTTACGTTCCACTGTTGTTCTTTCTGGCTCAAAAGGTTTGCCTGAATGTGTCAAATTCGGTGCAGTCCTGGAGTATATGCTCTGCTGTCTGGGGAACCTTTCCACAGGTGCACATGGCTGATACGCCCATCTTGAATATTGTGTACATATGCAAACATAATCGGTTGTGCCCTGTTCTAAGGCGGAGGATAATGACTTGTTCTGATTTGTCCATAATAAAATAGTCGTCTTGTGCTGGGGCTGGTGGTTTCCTGATCGATTTAATGGTTCTTTTCTTTTGGTGGTATGTGACTGGTACATCCGGCTGCACTTTTGTGGCACCTTCTCCTGCCAGTTGATCAGCTTTCTCATTTCCAGGCACTTCACAATGTGACGGTATCCACTGCAATTATGACTCTTCGCTGAAGGCTAAGTTGTGTCAGCAGTGTTTGCAATTCTGGTAGTTTCCTAGACTAGAGTGCTTCAAGTACTGATTTTGCATCTGTCAGCATTATCACATAAACATTCATACAAAATGGTTACAATCAATCAACACTCATTGTTGTTGTTATCACTCCAACGGCACATGAACTTTCACCCTCTGGTCCAATGCATAGTAGTGGAATTTGCATGTTTTCACAAGCTGTTCTTTTCCTCCGTACAAGGTGTTCCACTTGTTTGGTCTCGAAGGGAGTAGCATTTTTCTAGTCTCGCTGAGTTTTGGGCACTCAAAGAGATGGTGTTTTTCAACAGTTTCGTAGGGGTAGTTACATAGCTGGCACTCTGGGAAGTGTTGTGGCTGTATTCTGTTTAGATATTCCACTGTCTGTAGGGTTGTTGCTGTAGGTGGTTGTTCTTGTGTTGCTTATTTATTTGCCAGTCTAGCACACTTTTCACAATCAATCAAAAGAAAAAAATAGTTTGCCCTGGACTTAAACACGAGTGTGTGGGTTTAACACTGCCCCTTAACAAGCATGTCATAAAAGGCAACTTAATTAAGGGTTTGTTGTCACTGGGGGCATTGGCACAAAAACTGCAGATATCACAGCCTAGCTGTACACCACAACACAATGTGCTAAACATCCTTTTAAGGATTATCTCAGAAGTTTCCTTAACAAATGTGATTGCCACATTTACCTCTTTCTGTCCCAAGCAACACACTACACATGACTTGATACTATTTACATGTACCACTCAGTAAGTTATCTATATTTTATATTTCGGTTCATCTCTTTCAGCTTGGCACTGTAGCCAGCAGTGTTAAACTGGCTAACTTCTCTTTCGAGAGACCTCCTTATGGTGCATGCTAGAAAACTGAAGCCGCAAGGTTTCAGGCTAACAGGGCAATGGCTCACCTGGAGACAGGCACCAACGAGGTCTGATTTTTTTCCAGCACTGCCACTCGACGGACTAGCAAGCTAGCACTACACAAGAAATATTGAATACATATAGGACAGACTCTTGCCAACATCCAACCAGTAACGTTAAAGGAAAAAGACTGCATATAGGACTTTTTACAGGAGGAGGCGAGAGGAAGATGGAAACCTGCCCAAAAAAAAATGAACAAATCCATCACCTAAGCTACCCGAGAAGCGCAAGACAAATAAAGAAACCCACAGCACTGGGCATCACTGGGCATCACTGGGTATCACTGGGTATCACTGGGCATCACTGGGTATCACTGGGTATCACTGGGTATCACTGGGTATCACTGGGCATCACTGGGTATCACTGGGTATCACTGGGATCACTGGGCCCACTGGGTATCACTGGGCATCACTGGGTATCACTGGGCATCACTGGGTATCACTGGGCATCACTGGGTATCACTGGGTATCACTGGGCATCACTGGGTATCACTGGGCATCACTGGGTATCACTGGGTATCACTGGGTATCACTGGGCATCACTGGGTATCACTGGGCATCACTGGGTATCACTGGGCATCACTGGTATCAGTGAGACGACAGAAGAAGAAGAACTCTTTCAGTCCCAAGGAACACATCGTATGAACGAACAAACTTTATTTTCAAAGGGACACAAATTGGGCACGCAGGCCCGTCCTACCAATTGCCCTTCCAATCACCTGTCTTTCACACTGCAGCTGTATATTATTTAAAAGCATGTTATATTCATATGATAATATGCATATTATGAATATCCAAAAAAGAGACAAAAACACAAAAGCTTGGGTGGTAAAATGCATGCACAAGCACACACACACGCCCACTAACTAAAACACAACCACATACCTTTACATACAAATAAACACACCCCCGTTCATCCACATACATACCTACCTACCCATACAGACACGCACATTCCAAACACATACATACATACAGATGTTCACATACACACACAGACACATCAAAATAAACAAATGCAGATACACACACACAAACAGCCATATGTGAAAAGACCTAATCACACACACACAGAGATACACACACAGACACACACATGTGACACACACACAAACCCGCATTCACACACACGCAACACACACACACACATATGTACAAACACACACAGACACACATACACACACACACAATCGCAGACACACATACACACATGCTGATGCTCACGCAGACACATACCCACACAGACACACAACCACACACACAGACACACAAATGCAGAAGCATACGCAGACATTCATACGCAGACATTCATACGCAGACATTCATACACACAGGCACACAAACACATACGCTAACATACATATACACAGGCACACACACACACACAGACTCACACACACACACTCAGAGACACTACACACAGAGACACATACAGACAAAGACACACAGACATATACACACAGAGACATGCATATACACAGGCATTCATGCAGACACACATACACACACAGGCACATACAAACACAACCACATAAACACAACAAAGACACACACACATACACACAAATGTTCATAGGCTCCTACCTAGAAGCCGATGAATGCAAGATGCTCCGATTTTATGTTTCCCTCACCCCCCCCCCCCCCACCCTCACCCCCCCCCCCCCCCCCCCATCCTGGCCTCTAAAGCTAAACCCCCTGCTACTGGAAGAGCCAGTGTAGGATTCTTAAAAAAAAAAAAAACGCTCAGACAAAATGTTTTGTTTCCTTCAAGGACTGGATGGGAATCTGGTCCCTCTGGAAGTAGCATTCCCATGTGTTTAGTGTTATCATTCTTGCCTGTCTTAGATATTAGATAGGACATAATGAGACTCAAAGAGTTAAGCTGTTAGCTTTCACCTCCATCTGCTGCCCGCTCTTTAGTTTTTCTCATCTTTGCATTTTTTTTCTGACCCTTATCACGCCCAGTGGCACGTCCGGCATAATAACTTACAACAACTGATATATCTATATTATTGTAGAATAATCGACACTCGATGGGTGATGTGGATAACATCACACTGGCTACCTCTAATTCCCACTACGGTATCTGATACTCATTTTAGACTGTGTCAAAATGGGAGTAAAGGTCTTTTGTTTTTTAAACTCTACTTCAATGCTTCTTCTTCTTCTTCATGTCCACCAGCTTTGAACTCCAGCAGAAAGTTTTGATTTTTGATTGTTGTTCAGCTTCTGGACTGTAGTCTTGTTCCCTTAGCTTGAGTTTTGCATGCAAATTCATTTTACAGATTTGTCTTATTTGTATGCAGACTGTTGGTTCCTTAGTTAGTTAGTTGGGTTATCCTCATTGCACTCCGGTCATGTCCATAGGTGCTCAGATCCTCCCCTCAGTATGAACCCCAACGTCCGATGGCTAATAGTATCAGTTCTATGTTGATTAACAAGTCTTCTGGCGTGTCTGGTGTGCGTCTCGTTTTTTGCTGTGCCGATCTTAATTCCCAAGTCTGCCATTCTGGCGAGTGATGTGGATTCACTGCCACCAAAGTCCTCTATCCTTCCCATTTCTCTGAGGGCATTGATAATATCAGCATGATCCATAGGCTGACCGTCGGTAGTGATAGCGGATCCAGCCAACCTGTCAGCTCTTACATTTCCATCTACGCCTGCGTGTCCCGGAACAAAAATAAAGGTGACTCCACGCACAGTGGACTTCTGTAATGATTCAAGCCATTGTCTTCGCACTGAACCTGCCTGAACCCTCCGGATCATACTCATTGAATTGTTGGTTCCTTGCCGCTCAGGTTGATGCACCCCAATTCTGAAGGAAACACCCCTAATTAGTAACCTTTTTACAAGATGCTTTTTTTTTTGGGGGGGGGGAGGGGCAGTGGGTCTATCTTTCCCCCCAAAATGAGGACATATATATATACACACACACTACATAAGTATGCGAGCAATGTGTAAATACATAAATGTATAGATAAGACAAACATGCCTTCAGTGTAGACACAGAAAGTAAAGATGACCTTTCATCTAAGTACCCACCTACAAGATCTCTATGTGGACCCACATCCTGGGCATTCCAGTTAAATGAGTACTTGGACGGCCAGCTTGTGAACCCTTCATGGTGTTTTGTCACCTGGACTACATACCTGTCAATGTTAGTAAATCGTGGTTAATGCAGAATGTCCCCCCTTGAGAAAAACTGTTTTATCTGAGTATGCAACAATATAAATGGCAAATCTGACACCATCAAGGACAACTGTTTAACTGTATGTTAACACTGCACATTTATTTAATACAGATTTTTCCAGAAGTGGAGTACCTGTGAGATCAGAACATCTGACTAATGCTGATCATGATCCATTCATGGAATTGACTGTGTGGACTTTTATAAAGATAAAGATGCGATACTCCTCTAAATCATGGGGTTAGTTAAATGGATATTTAGTTGGATAATAGGTGTCTCCACTTTGCCGCGGTGGGGGAGCTTGTGTTTGTCAACGACCCTGAAAGCTATGCCGGTGGTAGCGTAGCTATCAGCAGGGTCTCCCAAGCCGGAAAGGTCATAGGGTTGAGAATAGACAAAGAGAGACACCCTGTTCCTCCAGGTTGGGGGATGAAGCGTGAGGTAAACACCCCCATCTTCATAAAACTTTATCTCATCATAAAACAGATATTTAAGCCTCGATTTTGGATGAATTTAGTATACCTAAGGGAGCTAAATGGTCATAGACAATGACGCACACCAAGAAGACAATTGAGAGATATTGTCCAGACAGACCTGCAAACACTTGGTGTTTCACAAAGAAAGGGCCAGAGAGATGAGTAGAGTGGGTGATTGCAGCAATGAACCTCACGGGCCCAGAACGCTGAAAAAGAAGAAGATGAAGATGAAGATGAAGAAGAAGAAGAAGAAGATGAAGAAGAAGAAGATTGTGAAAATACTGAGACCTTCTTATTTGTCTGCCCCTTATCCAGAAATAAAGTTTAGGCTTTCAACTAACTCATGCCAGAACAGATGAAATAAATGGTCTGACAGAATCTCACATGTACATTTTTGGGAAAAAACTAAACACACACAGTGGTGTAAAAGAACCAGATAACACTATAACTTTCCTGTGTGGGTTCCGCAGTCCCATTTTTGGAGGAGAAAAAAATAGATCCACTGTCCCCTAACCAGCATATAATAAGAATCAACTAATTATGGATGCTTCTTTCAAAATCCAAGTGCATCTATCTGAGAGGCAAGGAACCAAGTCTGCATACAAACAAGCACAAGAAAACAGAAGAAAGTTTAGTGCTCAAACTTCTTAGTTTATAACCCTGCACTTACCTGGCCCCTGAAGCGTTGAAAATATCTGCCCAGTGGTTAGGATCGTACATGCCTGTAGGTGTATCAAACTGTTCAGCAAAGTCTGCATATGTCCAGCCAGGTGGATAATTCTTCTTCATAAACTCTACTACGTCAGGTTCTGGTTGATCTCCTTGCCAATGATACCAAAACCATTCACTGCTAAAACCTGGAACTAAAAGGGAAAAGACAAAAAACATGTAATGCTTAGGTCTGCACACAATTTTCACGTTCAATTCTGTCCAGTGAAAACATGAGTATATTGTTAGAACAGAAAAGATGAAGGGGATGAGAGGCAGAGAGAAACCAATAGAGAAGATGGAGAAGATGTTAGACAGTCTGGCAGCATGGCATGGAGCAGGGCTATTCAACTAAGTTTACCCAGGGCCAAAATGTTGGAAATGGAGATCATCGCAGGCCACAGGCTCAAACCCCAGCATAGAAAGATCATTAATACAACTGGCAGTGATCTGCGGGCCACTTGCTAGGCCTTTGCAGGCTAGCTTTGGCCCACGGGCCGCCAGTTGAATAGCCCTGGCATGGAGGAACATCTGCATGAGAAATTATTAGCAGAACGTGTGGCAGAAGACAGTGGAGAGACTTCTTCTTCTTCTTTTAAAATTCACTGGTTGTAAATTCTGGCGAAAAGTTCTGGTTTTCCATCCATTTCTGGATTTTGGTCTTGTTCCAGAATTTGCCAATCCATTTCACAGATCTGGCTTATTTAAATGCAGACTGTTGGTTCTCTGCCTGTCTAGCAGATGCACTCAAATTAAAAAGGAAACACCCTTAATTAGTCACATTATATGACATGCTTATCAGGGGGACTGTGGGTGTACCCCCCTCCACCCCCCCCCCCACAAAAAATGGGGTTGCAAAACCCACATGGAGATGGACAGACAGGGACCACAAAACCCACATGGAGATGGACAGACAGGGGCCACAAAACCCACATGGAGATGGACAGACAGGGGCCACAAAACCCACATGGAGATGGACAGACAGGGGCCACAAAACTCACATGGAGATGGACAGACAGGGGCCATGAAACCCACATGGGGATGGACAGACATGGGCCACAAAACCCACATTTGGATGGACAGACATGGGCCATAACGATCTCAAACACTAAACTACTTCAAGTCACAAACCAAGAAACTTTAGACAATATGATAACCAAGAGAAGATGGAAATGGATTGGCCACGTTAGGAGAATGAATCCTGATATACCTGCCAAAACAGCTCTCACGCCATTGAGGACCCCAGAGGGCCTCTGATGCTTAAATTCATCCACAGCTCAATATAGAGGGTGCAAAAACAACATGGAGAAGAACAATGGAAAGTGCCCTGAGTGCGGCATCTTTGACAGGGAAAACTGCACTAAAGATTGCACAGGACAGGAAAGCATGGTAAGTCTTCTCTGAAGCCTCATGTGCCACTAGATTTTTGCCTGGGGCGGCCTGGAACGGGAATGGGCAGGGTCTCCTCGTGGCTGGTTTCTGCTGTCAAGTTTGGTTGTGTCCGTGCTTCCTCTGTTTTAGCGGGCTGGCTTTTCCAAAAAGATAGTGGTGGAATTTTTGGGCTTCTGTCACGTTAGTAGCGGCAGCGTCCTCCTCATCTGTTTCACTTCAAGTGATTGGGCTGCTGTGGTCTGTTGCACTGGCCGTACTCCTCTTGAGCAAACTAGTCAGCAAGAAACTGCTCTTTGTCAAAATAGTATGGACAAAGTAGATTTTATCAATGGCGGGTCGGACTGGAAGTCGGATAAGGACGAATCTCCTGACACTACATGATTGTATGACATGGGAGTAAAGCAGGGTGAAGGCGACTATGCTGTCTTCAGCGTCTGAGGTGACTGAATTCTGTTCTCAATATTGTCATCCTGGTCAGTTAGTACCGTACTTTGGAGCTTGTGTACTGTATTTTTTTTGACGTCAACTACAATTTTAACAAGGTGTTTGCTTCGTCAACTGAAGTCTGACTGTGAATCAGCATCTGTGCCTCTGACTTCCTCTGAACAAGGGGTGTGGCCTGCCGAACACTTTGCAGGTCACACCAAGGTGTAATAATAAACCAACAAAGAATAATCTAGTTGTCAGATGCTAGACTTCTGTACGTTGACTGAGAAGGCGATCTGACCACATATGGACTAAATATATCATTTTGTGCAGTGAGAATGATGTGCAGACTCAGTCAAAACTAGTCTTACCCTTCATGCCTCACCATAACAGCATTTACTTCAGGGATCCAAAGTATGTTGAAAACCCGTGATCCTAAAGTCTAAGTCCAGTCTGCTGTAGACAAATCCTTAAAACAACTTTTTTTGTGCAATGGAGTGGCAGGCCACTGTTATAACTCTGACAAGATGTTTGTGACCCTAGTGATGACATCAAACTGCAGCTATTGATCTACCTACAAGAACAAGGGGTGTGGCCAGGCAAGAGCCCTTTGCAGGTAACCAAAGAATAATATTCAAATCAAAGCTTTCCTGTTGTCAGATGCTGCCGGTAGACAACAGTAGCGACGGCCACTTATAGTCTAAATAGTTTGATGGTACAGTGCAATTACGGAGTGGAAAAGGCAAAACAAGTTACTAAACATGGCTACACAACCAAGTTTAACTCTAACCAAACCGTAACCGTATGCATTATAAAAGGGCAGTGTCACGTTGTCTGTTGCCAAACAAACTGTAATTCTGTCAATGGTTTTGTTCCACTGCTTTTCCACTCCTAATTGACACTTTTAGCCAAGGGACATTAACTCAGCGACTAAACCGGCCTTAAACACCGGGTGACACAGTGTGCCACCATTCGTTTGAGGATCACCCGTGGATGTAGCTGGAAACCCCATTCAACCGTCAAGTTATACTAGGGTCCCCGGCAACAGCCAGGGTGGGGCATTGAAAAAAACGAAAAATATGTCCAACATGGGGACAGAGAGTATATTATATTGCTAGGCCTTTGACTAGGCGGTCCGCCAGTTAAATAACTGTTAACTGTACCGAGAGCTAAAAAAAAAAAAACTAAATTATAAAATTATAAATAAATACCTGAGAAAACTCCCCAGTGGATAAATATTCCGATCTTTCCCTCATCGTACCAGCTTGGTAGGGGTCGTGAGTCTAGCGAATCCCAGTTAGGCTCGTACCGTACAGCGTCAGCTGTAGCAGACTGTGCTAAGAGTGCTAAGACAATAGCAACGGTCACAAGAGAAAACATTGTCAGTAACCGCTCTCCGTTCGCCATTTTGGAAAGTCACATGACAAGTGTGAAATAAAAATCACCGGGTCTGAGGCTTATATGGCCCCCTATTCTCGCTTTTAGACACGTGATGTTTATGAGAAGGACTTTGTCTACTGTCTAGCTTATCGATATGGTACAAGGGGAGGGGGTATGTCAGCGACCGATACTAGTCACCCGAACTCATTGAATTGTTTAAAATAACACGAATAATTAAGTCACAGTTAGAGTATCTGTCCGTCCGTCCTTTCGTCCGTCTGTTCGTATATATGTCTGTCTGTCTAGCTAGCTATCTGTCTGGGCGACTAGATTCTGGTGCCTATGCTCCCCCCCCCCCGCCCCTCTCTATATATATTTGTTCCATAACAGTATGTGTCGTCGAATCACCGAGTTATTGACTGATCGAGTCTTCAAACCTATGATTTATGGAACTACTAAAACAACAGCACCACACACACACACAGAGAGAGAGAGAGAGAGAGAGAGAGAGAGAGAGAGAGAGAGACCTAAAGAGAGGCGCGTGGCTACTCAAAAGACCACAATTTTGTCATAACTGTCCTGTAACCACTTCCTGCATGCTTGTCGTCGTTTTTAATACCCATTTAGAACACGTGTCGGCTCTGTGGCTAAGTCGATGCGAACGCTTCGCTTCGTAATGCCGGGATGCCGGGTTCGATCCCAGCTGCAGGCAATGCGCCTTGCGTTGGTTTCGACAGTGTTATCAAGAAAGCCGACCGTCCAGAGGCAATGACAAACTACCTGACGTAAATTGCCTAGAGAAACCACACAACAGCCAGGGGCTGTTAGGGTTGGTTCTGCAACGTCCTGTAAAGGATACACAACAACCTTTTTTTTTAAAGAACAGGTAGTTCACCGTTTTTGACACCTCTTCTGAAATCCTAGAAGGTAATGTATTCAGTCTGTCTGACCTGTCCATACGTCTCCCTCCACTAACCACTGCAGCATGGAAACATTTTGTGGATAACATAATTTAATGGGCCGACCTGATCAACATCACACCGGCCACCCTTCCTTCCTATGACATTAGCACTTCGAGTCCTAGGGGCTTACGCATCAGAGACCCAAGGGATAGTAAAGAGAGGGCTACTAGTTTGGAACCTATAAACGTATAATGCGTTACTTGGGACCGCAAAGAGTTAAATAGTAACGGTTTCAGGGTGGGTTGACATGGGAGCCGTGATCAGTTTATACTAGTTTGAACTCAAGACCTTTAGACGGACATGCCAGTGTCTAGCCACCACAACACAGGTGCTTTCGTGATTTCCTATTCAATCGTGAGATAAAAATGTACCCCCCCCCCCCCACCCTTTTTTTTTATTTTCAAACGTCGAATGTGGCGGGGAATCTTGTTGTAACTTGTTCGTTCTTTAATTATACATGCTAAGATATCTTTATCTACCATTGCATTTTCCAAGTTTTCCACAAAAGGATTTACGAATATGAGTTCACTTGAGCTGAGATGAAAGTATCCCCGTGGTAGATTGTCGTTGCCGTGTCAAGTGTTAGGACTCCACATTTTTAAATATGCCAGGGAAAGGGTATAGCATATATGGGTCAAGCTGCGGTAAATGTAGTTCAACTGTAGATACCTCTGCCTCTCTTGTGGTAAAGATTCCACCCAGAGCTGTCTTAACAGCATTATGGACCCCTGAGCTAACCCGTGTGATAAGGCCCCTACGACACCACTCAAATGAAATGACATTTGTATTTATGGCAATACACTTGATACACATAGATTATCTTGTGCCCTGTTTGCTTATGGGGCCCTAGGGAAAGTGCCCAATAGGCCCGTGCGACAGAATGCCTTGCTTTAATGATTACAGTACCTTTAAGACCTTATCGAGTATCCATTTTTATGAGGCTGTGAGGCTGACCTCACAGCTGCCTCCTCTTCTTTTGCCTCTTATTCTTCAAAGGAGTACAGGCCCTCAACCAACTCGTCCTATCCTTTGCTATCACATGCAGCTCAGCCCATGTCCTTCGCTATCACTCCTTGACAGAAACCCCATCAATTCTTCATCAATTTTGACAAGTTTTTTTTTTTTTTTTCATTTAGTACTGACGAAGTGTAGAAAAACCCAAACACACAAATACATAATGGCATCCGTCAGTCCCGGGGGACTATGGAGATGTGCCGCTGGCTTTGGGAACAGCATCTGCTGTGACTGTAAAGTCCGATGCGGGAATGGCAGCCTTTGCCACACAGGATACACACAAAAGCAGATACTCCCTCGTTGTGAGGCAGTTTTACTCTCCGGTGTCTCCTCTCCACAGCTCGTTGTGTTCGGTTTCTTTCAAAATGTGACAGTACGTCTTTCACTTTCTGTCTCCATAGTAGTCGATCTGCAGCTGATTTTTCCCATGTCTCTGTGCCTATGTTGGTATCTATTAGGTCACGTTTGCATACATCTTTAATGCCCAACTTTGGCCTTCCTGTAGGTCTATTCCCAGTTACCAATTCACCATATAGGAGATCTTTTGGAATACGACCATCCTCCATGCGGAAGACATGTCCCAGCCAGCGCAGACGTCTTTGCTTCAGTATACAATACATTGATAGTATTTTTGCTCTTGTGAGCACACATTCGTTGGAGACACGGTCTCGCCATAATATACCAAGGATGCGAGGGCCACAAATATATATCAGGGCACAAAATACACAGATCACCGACCACGCTGTCACGGTAAAGAAAGCGACGGGATAACGGGGAATGCATTAAACACACCTTAAACACACCTAAACGCACGTGCCAAGTCCAATTGTCCAACAAAAACTCCAAATTTGATCCTTTTTCAGCCGCCCAGAGGCCTGCTATATGGAGGAAGGTTCCTTGGCTGTCTTATTTGTTTTCCTATTATTTGTGGTGTGTAGTCACACCTAATATTCCGTTTCTTTGCTTCCTTGCTGCGGTGTGGTGCTTGTGGTTTTTGGGTCTGGAGTGATCCAGTTCTCTTAGTGATGATGACTGTTGGTTTTAGCTGAGTGTAGCTGGTGCTTGGTTTAAAACGTGCTGATCGCTGTGCTGGTGCCGTGTTGCTGCTTGGTTGCCGTTCTGTAAAGCCGCCGGAGAAAGCCAAACAAACACCGGGCCACAACGTCTCAAACTCCTTTTCAGGACAACCAGGGCCGTCACAATCTGTTGTGATTAGCCCGTTTTTTTTCCCACGGAGTGTGGAGAAGTAGTCGAGGTAAGATAGGCTGCAACTGAGAGAGGTAATTTGCTCCAATGTACCAGGAGATGTGATAGTTAGGTCGGGAGAATGAGAGCGACAAATATAGATTGAAAGAGATAGGTTCTACTCCTGGTGGGCTGAGGTCCCTTGGTCTGAAATAAAAGTGAAAGGCATTTGTTAAAATACATGTGGGGTGGGGTGGCATGAGAGAGACGGGAATTCCCAAGTGCTGGTCCCCTTAGGTGCAATGCCCTCGGCTGCCTGCTTCGGGACGTTGGGTGGCCTGTGGTAGTTTCCTTTGTCTTCTTATTCCTGATAATAAGATAAGAATAAACTCACAGGGAGCAAGTACAGCGAGGATCTACAGTCATCAGTAGAAATTATCCTCTTTCGACACACGTTTCGGCCCACGATTCCTAAACGTATTCGGAGGTGGGCCCACCTGAGTTCATGAAGCTCAGGGCTGCTTCCCCGCTGCACAGATTTACCGGATGGTGTTATTATTTCGCCACAGGCGAACGAGGCTCTGGCTCGCCAGATGGGATGGGGTCCATCTGGTCAGATTTTCCCTTAAACTGCGACTGGCCTAGCAAGCCGGCAGTGGATTTTTTATTGCTACGAAAATTAGAAAGGAGATAAATAAACGGACAGCCCCAAACGGAAAATGGACTGGAAACGTTAAAGGACGACGAGACAGAAAAACGACTTACATAGGCACATGGAACATATGTGGTATTGCCAACAAAGAGCCACAAATAGTGGATTTCATGAAAAGAAAAAATATACACGTCATGGGTCTTGCGGATACAAGAAAGAAAGGATATAATACAAAAGAAATACATGAAAATTATGTTTTATTATGGAGCGGAGTACCCACTAAAGATAGGGCAAAACATGGTGTCGGATTTATACTTCATCCCGAGACAGCAAAATTAATAACAGGAACAGAATTTTATATCAGAAAGAATTATTTTAATCAAGTTGACAGAAGGAAGTAAAACTACAACGATTATTCAGATATATGCACCTTGCAACGATAGTTATTCTGAAGAAGAAAAAGAAGACTTTTACGAGAGACTTACGGACACCATCAATAATGTTAAAGAGAAAGAGGACATCATAGTAATGGGAGATTTTAATGGTAGGGTAGGTAAAAAGAAGATCACCATGGGAGAGATACCTTGGCCCATTCAGCGACACAACCACAGATTGCAATAGAAATGGAGAACACCTGTTAAACTTGTGTGCTGAACAAGATCTCTACATTACCAACACATTTACCAACATCGCCAAAGTCAGGTTAAAACGTGGTACAAGTGGAACACTTAGATCAAGCGTCACAAATTGATTTTATACTAGTCAGACAACGGCAGAAGAGGGACGGTAAGAGACTCAAAAGCTGTCCCAAATGCGGGACTGGATTCAGACCATCGCCCAGTAGTTATGAAACATATGCAACTCAAGTAGAAACAGTCTACATAAACAGAAACGTGAAACAATCATCAACACTAAGAAATTAGAGGAAGAGAATATCAAACATGAATTTGAACTAGAAATAACAAAGGCTTTTGCAGATATTGCCAAGGAACCAGTAAGAATTGAAGAAGAATGGGATTATTATAAATCAACCATCACGAAGATATTAAAAGACAAGTGTGGTACCAGAAAGACGGGCAAAGGCAAGAAAAAGGGTACCGCTTGGTGGAATGAAGAAGTCAAAGAAGCAGTGTCAAATAAAAAGAAGATGTTTCAAATATGGTTAAAAACAAAAGACGAAAAGGATTACATTAGGTACAGACTAACTCGAAGAG